ATTTTGAAATGAATACATTTTTATTTTTCCAAGCCTCTTAATCTTATTTTAATTTATATTGCTTCAGATTTTGACAAATGCCTTTCCATGGTCATGGTATGATGGTCTTTATTTCTTTTCTTTTTTTGTATATGTTTTAATGTGTGTTTATTTTCTTTTTGTGTTTTATTGTAAACTGCATAGACAGCTTCAGTAATAAACACCAGAAAAATCTTGTATTAGAAAGATTTATTATAAATCTTTACTAGCACCAATCTATAATAAATAAAATTTTAGCAATATCAGCAATAGATGATGAGCATGTTGCACATATTTCAATAATAAAACTACATAGAAAATACACAATTCTGCACATTCCTACATTCTTTACAACATAAAGAAGGCTAGGACATTGTTCAATATGGTTCACAGATAATCCTATGCCAAAATATAATGTCTTCAATAAGGAATTGACTGCACTCACAAGAATCACTAAGCCATAACATGTTTATTATAAACTATAAAACACACACACACACACACACACACACACACACACACACACGCTCCTGAAATAACATGGCATATAAAAACCAACAAAAATATTTCTAGTACTCCATAAAGCAACACCTCCCTCACATCCAACAAACAATTTTTGTGAGCTTCAACCACATACTACCTAATACTTGTGGGATACGCCAGGTCTTCAAGACTTATTGGAAGTCTCGGGGCTTGCTGATTCTGAAGTGGACCACTACTGAGGGCAGGGACCACTACTGAGAAGGCATCTTACCTAGGTCCCATTAGATGCAACAAATTGATACATATCTTTATATAATGTGCGTACACACAAAGGTCCAACCTTTTGTAGGCCAGAGATCTCACCTGGCCTTTGATGCTGTGTCAGAGGCCATACTCCCGAAAAGTACTGATGGACAAAATTAAATTAATTGCATTATTTATTTTTATTATAATTGAATCTTTATTAAAATAAGTAATTGTTATTATCCAATGAAATTGTTCATTTTTACTCCTAACATATGAGGGATACCTGTGTGTCATATCCAAGCTTTTGGAAGGTCCCAATTGTGCACCTCTATGCTAAACTATTCAGGTTAATGTATAGTAATTACATTATATTACATTACATACATCTATATATATAAAAGCAAAATACCACTCACGCAGCATCACAAAATCTCCAGAACCGTAAAGCCTACAAACTTGAAATTTGGCACATATGTTCCTCTTGGCTTCTAGGTGCTCACTAAGAAAGGATTTTTCAAAATAACCATCAGGTCATTAGTATTTCCTAATACAGTAATTAACACACTCTGATGCTAATGAGCTCTACTCCCCCTCCCTACCCGAAAAGAACTCTGTTCCAACTGCCAGTTGCCTCACATTCCGTTACCTCACATTCTGTTACCTTAGTAACTCCACAGCCATTTGCACCATTCAGGTGACCCAAGAACACAGACAAACCTCCAAGTTGCCTCAACGACTCTCTAAAAGGATGCAAACTACACTTCCCAACAAGAAGCTACTTTGGCATCAAACGTTGTAGTATTTTTATTACCCACCATCTAATCAGAGCTGAAGAAACTCCTTGGATGAGAAGCAAAACATCTTCAAAGAAAAACCAGAAAGTCCAGTTGGCCTGAAAAAAAGTACCTTTGCGGCAACTGTTGGAGGATTGTATATAACACTTTTGCTGGAGAGAGAGAGAGACAGACAGACAGACAGACAGACAGATGAAAGGAAAGGGAAGGGAAGAAAAGGAAAGGAGGAAGGAAAGGGAAAGGAGGAAAGGAAAGGAGGAAGGGAATGGAAAGGAGGAAAGATGGAAAGGAAAGGAATGGAATAGGGAAAGGAATGGAAAGGGAAAGGGAAAAAGGAAAGGGAAAAATAAAGGAAACCCTTATTTGTTTCAACCACTGACCACCAGTGAGCCAACGGATTGTGAACCAAATTTCTCCTGCTAAACCCAATCACATAGTTTCGTTGAGAAGCATGGGTATCCAGCTAGTATGTTATATTACTGTTCTGGTGATGTAAATAAGTTACATTATACCTAATGTGATATATGATCCTTAACTATTAATGTTATGCTGAAAACATAATCTAGAAATTGCATTTTATTCATGAAGTAGTAACATGTATTACTATATTACTTCCGTAATTCACAACTCACTCAATCAAAGGCAACTACATTTATGACTATTATAAAGCAAGATTATTTTAAGGAAGTGAAATGTAGTGCTTTCAACCATGGGACATATTTGCAACTATCACACCTTTCCTTATAGTATTCATGAGAGAAAGTTTTTTTAATTTCCAAAAAGAAGCAGCAATAAAAATACATGAGATCTTGCAAGTAGAAAATATACTTGAAGTTGAAATGTCTTCAACCAGACAATGAACAAGTTGGACTGCTCATGAGTACTTTAAAGACATCATCAGGATGAATCTCACACCTGATTAACAGCTCATGATGAACTTGTTTGTTTTCTATAGTCTGTTGAAGACAGTTTGCCACTACACTGCTGAATCTCAATCCTTTGTGAACAGTACTAACGCTATTATTCAGGAAAGTTACTTTTTTATCTCATTAAAGGAAAAATTAATATTTTTTTTTACAATTTGGACCTCTGTTTACTTCTTATTCAAGATGATCAAGGCATGGATCCATTCCAGTAATAATTCACAATTATCAGAAGCTCCAATACTGACCTTAGAAGTATTACAATTGGATGTATAAATGATAGTCCTCTGACTCTGTTCCTGTTACTATATTAAAAACTACATATGTTAATCTTTTAAACTGTTGTCATTCCCCATCATATTCATCTAAACCTCAGTACAGCACAAAACTATATATTCTACCCAGGGGTGGGATTCAACTGGCCTTACTACCGGTTTGGTGATTATGTTTTGTGCATGTACATTAACCTTAGGCTGTACCTCTGAGAGAGCTGAAAAGCACTGCACGCAGGTGCACAGCATTTAAAAAGCCTCTTTTTCCCTGCTTTTTCAACTTCAGCTGTACCACACAAAGCAGCTGAGGTTGAAAAAGCAGGAAATAAAGGACAGGTAAGAGCCCAGGCGGGCAGGTGGGCCAAATAGCAGCAAACACCGAACCAGTTCTGTGTCTGCTGCTCTTCAGAGCTTCCAGTTCTATAGAGCCAAGCAGAACCGGTAGCATCCTGATTCCACCTAGATGCAAGTACCATTTTGCAACATTCTATAAGGTTTTTTAATTATATATTAAATACACTATCCCAGAAATATGCCTGAAGTTTGACATTTCACCATATTTATCTAATCACATATAAAATTATTAATGCATTAAATTCTAAAGCTTCTTTCATTATTCCTTATACCATATTACATATTCCAACAAATACTTATAGCTCTAATGTTCTCATTTAGAAACATTAAGCACATGCTTAAGCCTATAGTTGCATCCATGTTTAATATGATACTAAGACCTATTTTAAATTACTGGGACTCACTTTTGAATGAGTATGGTCACTTTCACTGACTTCAAAGTATTGCCATACAACACTTACTTTTGGCTAGATGGTGCACCATGTTGCATCTTCTATTGGATTCATTCTTTATTAGACTGATTTTTTGACTTAGGAATACTTTTAAAATGTTAATTTTCCTGACAATGAATCCTATTTTTACACTTCAGAAAAATCAGAAGGCCAAAACATTTTTAAATGTATCTTCCTAATCTTTGTAACTTTCCAAACATGAGCCACAGAGAATGCAGTCATATTACAGCAAGTCAATTAGAAAATGCCAGCGGATGGGTGGAGAAGGTATCATGCTTCAATCCTATTCAACAAGTTTCCACGCTAGCCAAGCACAATTCTTGCTAACACAGCACAACCAGTTTTGTTTAGCAGCTGTTACTTTTTGCTACCAGCTGCTGTCATGTTAGACTTCGCCTATTTTAAATACTCTCCATTCTGCCTAGTTAGGGTACAGAGATTAGTAAATCCAATAAAATGTATGTTGAAATCATAGCAGTCCTAGAACTCTTTACAAGAATCTGTTTTATCCCATGTTTTAGTATGCAAAATATAACCAACAATATTTCCCATATAACTTTGTTTTCAGATTGGATTGCATAAGAATTCCATACAGTAATAAAAGAAGTGGGAAGTATCATATACATCAAGAAAAATGATAAATCTCCCTTCTTCAGCTTACATATTTTTATTTCAAAAAATTAAAAATGGAGGGAACATACATGTTTATGTTAAACGTTCATTCCATCACAATATATTTTAAAACAAAAGAGCAAGAGAACATGTTAACATTATTTTGTTAAGAATGAAATGTGCCAATCTAGATGGTCTCAAACCATTTTGATCTTAATCCACACATCAAATGCATCCCATAAAACACTGAAGATTAGTTTTTTCCTCTCACTGGTGTGTAGAATTAGAATAGAGACCACTGAGAATGCAAAGCATTATAACTGCTTAGAAAAATATCTCCATACATAACTCGATTTAGTTTCCTACACAAAGATGCTTCATCTCTTTTCTGTCGTTTGTGAGATATATTACGCAGATGAAGAGACAATTTTATTTCAGAAACGATGTTACATCGTTTAGTCAGACTCAACCAGATAGAGATTAAAAGGAGTAACGGGAAGCGAGAAAGGAAAAGATAAGGAAAAAAGATAACCAGGTTTAAATTTAAATTACTTACAGAGCATGTCGCGAACCACTTTGCCATCCAAGACCGATTTTACTGTGAAATAACCTCCTTTCCCCGCCCTCTCCTAATTATGTCAAGGAGAGAATCCACTTGCCATTTACTCTTTACTGCAACCTTTCCGGAGTCTGAATGGGGACTTTTCCAAAGTGAGTGAAGAAACCACGAATCCTACTTTGGAAACGTTACCATCTTAAAATAAAACAACCAAAGGCAAACCCCCGCCCCCCACGCCCCATATCTTTTGCCCAGCACCACCATCGCCATCGGCTGGCTCACTTTACCTGTTGCGAAAACCCAAGGCAAAAACAAAAAGGTCTCCTTTAGCTGCAAAATCCCGACAGCAGCCCCGAGAGCGCTTCAGACGAAGCCATTTCACAGGTTATTCCTTCGGGAAGGGGGAAGGGAGAAAGGAAGGTCCTGTCTAAAGCGAGCCGCCTCTCGGCTCTCCTCTCGGGCACTCAGAGTGCGAACGTGCCTCACTTCCTGCCTCTCAACAACAACAACATCAACACCCCCAAATTGAGTCTGGATATCATTCCACTCGGCGAAAAGTTAGGGAGAAGGTGGGAGAATCAACGCGGGCCGTCCCCTTCGCCAGCCAATTCCCTTGACAGAGGAAGGCTGCGGGAGCACAAGGAGAGCTTTTCTCCGAGCGCTCAGTTTCCCCCCCACCCCTCCCATTCCTTCCTCGTTCCCCTTTTGGAGGCGTTCCCATTGGCTCCAGCCATGCGGAAGGATACGGTGTGGTCATTAGAGTACAGCCCTCTGTGTTTGAAGCCCCATTACCTCAGAGGCCTGGAATGCTCGGCAGGGGGAATGTCAGCAATGGGACAGCTGCTGCCGCTGCCCTCGCTGGAAGGAGCGGAGGCGGAGGCGGGGAGCTGGCAAGGCACGAACGGGAGATGCCGGAGGCACACGTCCGTCCCTAACTTGCCATTCCTCTTCGTCGCCTTCGCCTGCGCCAGAAAAAAAAAAAACCTTTTTTTTTTTTTTTTTTTTTTGCCCGAGAAAACTCGTGCCCCGTGAATTGTCTCAGTTTTTACCCGGCCGTCCATATCCCTCTATCGTCGAGCGGCGTTGCGCGAGTAAAAAACAACGACGAATAACAAAGTACAGGCGTGATTGGCACCTCGTAATGTGGCGTTCTTTGCTAGCTTCTATTCAGGCAACTGAGAAGTTTCATTGGCAAATTTACACTCCGATCGTCTCCTGAATTACATCTGAAGAAAACTTCAGCCGAGGCAGAGTTATTCCTGGCCCTTCTGTTTCTCATTTCTTCTGTGAGCGTTTATAGGGTGGTGTTACTGATTTAAGGAAGCACATCAGCCAGCCAGGCCTGATCAGGACCCATCTGATTTCCAAAAAGGATGATGTTCCAGAGGGCAGGTGCCATGACAGAATAGATTCTGTTGAAACCACCCCCCCAGTAATTCATACATGTTTGCATATGGGATTTGGAGTATGCCCTTCCTACTTGACTAGAAAGGATGGGTAGAAACAAAATGCAAAGTGCCAGTCAGTCCCTGATGCCCCCTTAGTATCTTTATTTCATGCTATGTGCTTTTCCTAGTGCTTTGTAAAGATGTGCATAGGAGAATAATGGGTCTGCTTATCATTTTAGACCAGCTTTGCGAACTAGATGCTCTAAAGCCCTTGCAAGCAGGAGCTGGAGACCTATCCCTTATCCACCATTGTTCCCTTGAAAACTGGTATTTAGAAGCATGCTGCTCCTAATGGAGACCTATTGTTCAATTCCCTTTTAAAGCCATGCGACTTACCAGCCATCATTATATTTTGTGGCAATAAATTCAAGTTAAGAATTCATTACATGAATTACATGAGAAACTGTTTTAATTATTCTATATCACCTTCCAAGCAGCTTCACTGAGTGGCCCTTGATCATAGCCTTTCAAGAAAAGGGAAAACTTTTTGTGAACATCCACTGTCATGCTGATTTTCCAAAGCCGCCTAGCTGTGTCAGTCTACACATGAGATGATGCTGACAACAGTATGTTGGCTTGAAAAACACTCCAAACTAGAGATTCTAGCTTAAAGAGAACAAGGTCAGCATGTATGAGGGAGCAATAGACCTGGTTGTTCTTGTAATATACTCAAGATATAGCCAAACCAATTGGCATTATCCTAATGATTATCAGGGTACACCAGAACTATAAAAAGTATTCTGGATGTGACATACCATTAATTGATACAAGGACATTGCAAAATTGGTAGCTCTATTTTCAATCTTTTTTGTGATCCCTGGCATAGAAATTGCCATTTTTATACAGCTGCTGTACTCTGGGTACACATCTTCGGGGAATTCTCTTAGAAGCCATTCTGCTCTCAGGGGAAAGGGGCAAAAGTACCAAGGTGACTGCAGGGGGAGAGGCTAGCTGGAAGTCAAGAGCCAAGAAAAGGAAGGAGGCAAGTTTTCATCAATAGGAACATTTTGATTATTTGCTTTCAAATCAGTCTTGGCTCTTAGTAATCACATAGATTTCCTCCATTATGATCTGTCCCTGACTGGGTTTTCCAGTAGTGTATCCATCACTACTGTAACTCAGTCTATCCGCTTTACTGCTGGTGATTCTCTTCTCTTTCCTGTCACTTTTCCCAGTGTTAGAATTTTCTCCAGAGAACTAGGTCTTTGTATAATGTATCTGAAATATGATAATTTCAGGTACGTTATTTGTGCCTTGATGAAGAATTCTGGATTGTTTTGTTCAATGATCCGTTTGTTGGTTTTCTTGGCTGTCCCTGGTATTCTCAAAAATCTTCTCCAATGTCAAATTTCAAAAAAGCCAATACTTTTTCTAGTTTATTTCTCTAAGGTCCAACATTTGCTTCCATGGAGCATTACAGGGAATGCTATTGCCTGCACTAATATGATCTTTGTAAAGTATAGGGATACCACGGTATCTGAATATATTTTCCAAGGACTTCATGGCTACTAGTTCTAGACTAGTGCTTTTCTTGAGTGCCTATTCCTTTACTGTTGATACTTGAGTCTAAACCTGGGATGTCAAACTCATGGCGTCACACGATGTATTGGGACTATTTTCCCCTTCACTAAACTGGTGGGGCTGGGGCCAGCATGTGAAACATCTGGCCCACGGGCTGCGAGTTTGATATCTCTGGCCTAAAAGACAGAAATTATCTATTTAGAATTCACAATATCTTTATTCTGAATTTTAAGAATACCTGTTGTCATTAGTTTCCTCTTTATATTTAACAGAATAACATTTAATGTCCCATTTTGTTCATGATTCTCCTTTATTTTTATTGTTACAACTTGCAAATTCTTTATGTTTTTGGCTATCAAAGTAGTATCACCAGCATAGCCAGATTGTTAATGGTTCTTCCTCTAATTTTAAAACCACACTCACCTAATTCCAATCCAGTTTATCTTAATATATATTCAGCACATAGGTTGAATACATAAGGGGAAAATATATAGCTTTATCTCACTCCTTTCCCAGCTGGAGCTAATCTGTTACACCATGTTTTGTACATATTGTGGCTTCCTGACCTGTATATAAGTTTCACATGAACACAATGAGGTATACTGGGATTCCTGTTTTTCTTCAGTGTTCACATTCCACAATTCGATGTGATCAACACAATCAAAGGCCTTTCTATAATCAGTGAAACATATAATGACTTGGTTTTCTTTGGTGCCTTTCATTCAATCCACAAATTCCAAAAAACTGATATTCAACTCCAGGCATCATAACAGCTTTGGCCTAATTAATTCAGAAGCATCATATCACTTCCTCATGTCTGAGAAACAGGAAAGATGGCAAAGATAATATTTTGCATTTATCATAATCTCCACGTTTCTTGTTGTTTTAAAAGCAGTAGCGAAAATAAGTTGCTCCAAAGGGCAATACTGTGGGAAGCAAATCTAGTTCCCCTCCTGGAAGATGAAAGCAAGAAGGAGATGAAGCCACTGTTTAAATTGGAATAATATATGCTTTTGATAGGGAAAATGCAATTTAATGTGTGTATAAGTGTGTAGATAGTGCAAATTTATATGAGTGTTTTTTTCTATTTCTCTTTGATGAAATATAGTACTTCTCTACCCAAGTTTGCTCTCTACTGCAACTTGACCATAGACATATCTGTCCAACACATTCAACTGTGAATACCAATGTAAACAACATCATAATTTACAAAATAGTCAATCCTTCTTTGGTTATATTTTCAGTCTGTGTTACCTAACAATCCAATCATTTCTTTGGCTGTTTCACTGTTTCTATTAATCTAAGATTTTTGAAATATAAAAATGTGGTTTTTTTTCTCTCAGGCCCTCATCCTGCTGAACACTTAATTCTTACAGTGCTATCTAATGTTTGTGCGTATATACCCAAGTAGTATGGTTGTAGCATTATTATTTACCCCTATCCTTTTTACTCCCCTCTCTTATTGGTATAATGATGATGATCACTATTCTGTTGCTTTGCATGTACATTTAAACCTTCTGCATTAAATTCCTTGTGTGTCTAGTCCCACTTGGCCAAATAAAGTATTAATTAATACTCAATGCCAATTTATACTTATTTGCTAGTATTTGTGCTACTTGTTCTTCTTGCTTAGGTAAGCTTTCCACATGTTACAATAAATATTTTTATCTTTTACAGTTTTTCTTGACTCTCTATGTAGATATCTCATTAAACTAGCTAATACCATTGTTCATCTGTGGTACATGCTCTAGCCAACTTTTCTTTTTATGGTTTTAAATAATCTCCCAGCATTTTAAAATGATTTAAACCCCAATGTTTCTTTCAGGGGCTACAATAGCATATTTATATTCTATTATATACAATTAAGATAGATATTATTTCTCATATTAAATATGAAAAATATTTACTGTGATCTGATTTCAACCTATTTTTCCTTCCATCACTATAAAATTAAACTCTAGAGATTGGAGAAACCAGCAAAGGGGGCAAGAGTCTGACTAAAAATGACCATGCACACTGAATTTGTGTATTGTGTTTACTAAAGACTAAGTCCAATTAGAGCCAATTTGGTATAGTGGTTATGGTCTCTTGATTTCTAGCCCACATCTTTAATCGCTACACCAACTGCTCTAACTGTACTTAGTTCAATTAGACCCATACATAAAGCTATTTCTGCCATAAGCCCATAGCCAGGTGATTGGGTTGGGCCTGTTACAATCTTCCTTGGCCCTGGAAAGGAGGCAATGGCAAACTACTTCCAAAAATCTTGCCCAAAAAACCTGCAGAGACTTGCCTAGGCTGGGGATTTGAAGAGACAAAAAGAAAAAGAAGCCAATTAAATTAAATAAGATTTACCTCCCAAAATGCTGGGAAATAGACAAATGGCTAAGTAAGTGACAGAATCTTATATTAACTGTATGAACCAGAGCAAAGAATTGATTAAAACAGATCTCTGTTCAGTTTCTAAAGCTCTGGTTTCATCTCCTTGTCCTTTTCCATCTGGAACAGGAAAGACCTTAAATTTCTTCTTCCTGGCAATGCTGAATTAATTCAGCTTTGTTGGAGTCAAGCTGCTATCACAAGAGTGAATCAGGTCAATAATTCATAAAGGAGCCTTACTCTTTGTTTTTCTCTAGTTAATATCTGGTGGGAGCGCTGGCCACTTGTGGCCAATTGAAAGCAAGAAACTGAGGAATGA